CTGTACTGCACTTTTCATTTATTTGCTCACTTCCTCACCAGGCCGTGGGGTCCTTGAAGCTGAGGCTCCACCAGCACCGAGCATGGGGCCTGCCAGACAGGAACTGTCCCGAAAAGAGGAGGAATGAATGAACTCTCATCTTCTAATGCCAGGATTTGATTAAAAGAGCCCCTTCCTAAGGCAGAGAAGGATGCCTTTTCTTATCTTACCAGTCTCCCAGTACCCAAAACCAAGCCTTTAGCATGCTTTCCAAGCCCTGTCCCTTTTCTATACCGTGGCAGGTTAGACAGGGGGTGAGGGGTTGCCAGAGGACTCGGGAAACGTTTTCCCCAGACTGTGTTGTTCCTCTCACCCTGCCCAGGCCGACCCCTGGCTGTGAGCAGGTGACAGAACCTGTGAGTGCTGTGTGGGTGGGGCAGCCCGCAGCCCTGGGCCCGCTGCCCCGTTAGTGATGAATGCTAACGCCTACTGCACCACCTCGGTGAGAATCACTGAGAGCAGCCTTACGAAGTCACTTTGGGAAATGGAAAGTGCTTTGTGGAAACTGGGAAGTACAGTGGAATCTGTGGGAATGTGCTAGAGGAAATTCATGGCAGTGAAGTAGTAAAGGATGACCCAGACTCCCCCAGGCTGATGGAGGAGGACTGTGGTGCCTCTGTAGGTGCTCGCTGGTGGTATCCCAGATGTTTGCTTGTGCAGTAAAATTGTAAGGTGTGTCCCAATGGGGGCTAGAGTCCCACACTGGCCCACAAAGCCTGTAGTACTTACCACATAATAATGTTTACATTATAGTTACTAAATTCTAGGAATGCGATACACATTAAATTTATTATCTCAATTTTTTAAAGATTTATTTATTTGAGAGAGTGCAAGAGAGTGAAAGAGAGAGAGAGAAAGAGTGAGCGAGATGAGCAGAGGGAGAAGCAGGCTCTCCACTGAGCAGGGAACCTGACACGGGGCTTGATCCCAGGACTCCGAGATCACGACCTGAGCCGAAGGCAGCCGCCCAACCAACTGAGCCACCCAGGCGCCCCTATTATCTCAATTCTTTACAATAACTCACCGAAAGGAAATTGTCCCCCTTTATACTAGTAGAGAAACTAAGATTTATCAAGACCGAATTACCTGCGCAAGGTCACACAGCTAATGAGTGCCAGAGCCAGCCCACAGTCGGGGTTCATAAACTCCACACTGTACTGTCACTCTTGCGGGGGGTCGAGGTTAGGGTAAGCCTGCAGAGATGGGGAGTTTGGAGAGACTACAAATCTTTTATCAAGATCATTTGTAAAGTCACCTGCCTCTGGGCCACCCTTACCAAGAGAGAGGAGTAGCTTCCCCACTCCTAGCTCTTTCTGAGCTCCAGAGCAAGGTCAGTGCCAGCCTAGAAATGCCAGTCTTGTCTTCAAAGATTCTGGATGAATGAAGCGAGTAGGATGGTCTGAGGCATGGGATTCTCTAGGGTGCTGCCTTCAGCTTTGGAAGCCCTGGGCTCTAGGCCACTAGTTTAATGGGGTTAACAAACCAGCAAAGGCTGGCTCTCTGCCGGGGCTAGAAGTGGATCATTTTTGAGAAATGTTTTAGTGCAACCATGTGCCTGACACCCATAGTCACTCGGGATTTCATAAATGTATGAGGACACTTGAGAAGTGCAAATACCAGGACGAGCAGTTGGATATCCAATGTAGGGAGATCCCTTTTCTGCCATTTTTACCCACACCCACTTCTACAGATTTCCTGGACAGGGGACTAAGAGAACAAGGGACTTAAGGTTCCAAGTAAAGGAGAAAAACTAAGCAAGAGTTAGGTTTGGTGAATGATTGAAGTGCTGCTCTTTACCTTTGGGACTTGTTACTGCTCTGTGGCTATGATCTATGGCAGTAATTCTCCCTGGATGAGGCTTGGGGAAATGGTTTTGGTTCTGTCATGGACTTTCCAGTGCCAGCTTCTTTTCCTAGCAGGTCTGTCCCCAGCCCACACCCTCCCCCAGCTCTGGCTGCCCAGACCATTGGGTGTCAAGGTCATTACTATCCATTGCGCATTTATTGGGTGTCAAGCAGGCACTAAGCTCTTGACCTTCATCATCTCATTTGTCCTCACAGCAGAGGAGGGCTATCATAAGGCCACCATTCCCTGACCCCACCATACACCTGTCTCACCGCCAGTCTCACCTCAGCTCTGTCTCCTTCCTGGACCTTTTAACCCTTAATTAAAAGGGATATTAGTCTCCCCTTCTCAGTGTTCCAGTCCCAGCAATATAGCCCTGGAATAGCACACATCTTGGGGCATTGTGATAATTGGTCCTTGTGTGTACCATTCTTGCATTCGGCTCATGTTTATTGGGTACCTCCTGTGTGTTGTCTGTTGTCCTCACTGGACTTGGAGATCCTTTGGGGCAAGAGACCACTCCTTGTTCTTGCTTGTTGTGCATCCCCAGCACACAGCACTGTGCCTGGTTCATAGTAGATCCTCGGGAAATGTTCGCTAAGAGAAGGCGTCTAGGTGGTGTCTAGTCGTAGAACAGTCTTCTTTCAGTCCTTCCAACCCCAGACACTGGGGAATAGGAAACCTGTCCCTTAGCTCTTGGCTTAATAGGGAAACACAGCTATGATTCTGGATGCTTAACTCTTGTTGATCCCCCTAAGTGGAGGAATCTAAGCTGCAGTTAGCCCCAAAGAGTCATTAAGGCCCACATCATTCATTATGTTCTGTGGGTACGTTCATTTATTCTTTCCGTAGGTGTTGAGCATTCTGCAGGTACCCGGCTCTATGCTGGGAGCTAGAGCCGCAAAGATGAATTCACACACACACACACACACACACACACACACCATGACCACAAGGAGATCAGCCAACTAGATGATCAGCAGACTAGACAGAAAGATGGTGAATTAAGGTACAAATGGGTTAAGTAAGTACCATGGGTGCAGTTCACTGAGAGCTCTACAAGGGGGATTTTTAGGAGGAGGTAAGATCGGGGAAAGCTGCTAGAGAAGGTGACATTGGAGCTGGGCCTTAAAGGAGAATAGGATCAGGGCCTGAGAAAGTAGGTGGCAAAATTTTCCCCACAAGAAAAGACATAGAAGTAGGAGGGTATGTTTTGGGGCAGCATGGATGTCATTCAGATAATTAATTTGTCTAGTAATTGGCAGGGGTGAGACAGGTGTAACTCTTATTACCATGAACATATCACTACAACGTTCTTTTTTCCTTCTCCCTACCACTCCCTTCTCATGCCTAAAAAATAGTTCTGCTGGGTTATAACCTGAAAGACTTTGTTCTTTAAAGGATGGGGTAGGAGAGCCTTATGTGGAGTGACGCTCTGTCCAAGCAGTCACATGAGACTCTCGGTCCTTCAGCCCCCCACTCCCCGAGGACCGGCCATGTAAAGGTCCCTTTGCATGTCTGCCCTGTGCTGGGAAAGAGCTTACAGAGGCCATCCCTGAGTTTCTGGAAGGGGTAGACACTGCAGATAGGCTGACTTGCTCCATCAGCAGGAGGAGACCAGTGAGCCAGATTCATCACTCACATCATTTTATCTGTGGAGTCAACATCTATTTTTCAGTGTGGAACCATAAAGGGACCCGGCATCTCTGTCCTGGAGAGGGAAAGAGTGCCAAGGGTGAGGGGTCTGCTCAGCCTCCGTTCCTCTTTGCTAGATCCACCGCCAGACCCATTCTCAGATGCAAGGTCGGCTTCACTGCCTGATGTTTAGTTCTTGGGATGCCAAGGGTCCAGTTTAACACGTACACTTTCTTCTGTACACATGCTTTTGTGTGTGCACAGTGCACATGCATACACACACTCGCTCACCCCTATAGTCTTAGCAGGCCTTGTAAATTGGTTATATGGATTAAATAAAACTCCCAACTGAAAAATGCTAAGGCATATAGGTCCCTTCCTGTCTAACATTGTCAGATGTGCTCTGAAATGACTGTTTTCATCATCTATTCTGAGCCATAACTGCCCCAGAAATAGCTTTAGCAGGAAAGTGCTTTTGTTAGACTAGCTGTAAATTATATTTCAAATGTCTGATGTTGTTTTCTTAAAAAATAAATAAATAAGTAAATGAAAGTCTAAAATTAATGACTGCTGGGGTTTGCTTTGCTTATGTGTACTGCTACAGATTTGGCTTCTTGCAGATGGAATTTCAGATCTGTTTACACTTCTGTGTTAGCTTTTTGGGGGAAAAAAAAAGCAGTTGAGAGATCTGGGAGGACAAATTTACAAAGTCGAACTTATTATAACCATCCGTGAGGCTCGCTTCTTTCTTCCCCTGCCCTCTCCCTCCCTCCCTTCCCCCCTGCCCTCATTTTGTTGATTGTGGCTTTCTCTGCTCCTCCTCAAAGTTAGATGGCAACTGGTTCTTGCAGATGTTATGACAAGGTCACAGATCCAGTTTCACAAGCAGATGTTCACGAAGCCCCATTTCACCAGCACTTTGTCATTCAGCGAGAGCAGACCTTGTGAGAGCAGATTGGAACAACACAAAGGATGGGACATAAAAAATCTTGCAGAGAACCTGATCGCTTTAATGTGTTGAAGACGAAAGGCTTGGGGGTGGGGAGGGTGGCAAGGAGAGAAATCTGCAGAGCAGAAATTCGTGGAGGGTTTTTTTTTTTTGGTTTATTCAAAGATTATTATGTGTTGGATACAGTAAATCATCTATACACCCACATGCAGGAGGTAAATCTTCAGAACTCCATGCGTGGGTAGTTCTGCATTTAACAGCCGCCATACAGTAGCTATTTTGTTCTGCACTTAGAGACCCTTATCTGTGCATTTGTTTTAAGTTATCAGCAACTCTCCTTTTGTTCCTCTATTGCTGTTCTCCTGATTCTCATTACTATTACAAGAGTAGCTAAGAATCTGAACTACTGAGTTATTTAAACTGACACCACAAGTTAGAATGATAGACGAGGGGCTGCCATCTCAGTGGTTGACTCAGCCTCTACTTGGAGGGTGTTGCTATAATGGATTTAGCTCCTCTTGCCTTTTCCTAGGTCTCATATGCCCGTCCGAGCTCTGCCTCAATCAGGGATGCTAACCTCTACGTTAGCGGCCTTCCCAAAACCATGACCCAGAAGGAACTGGAGCAGCTTTTCTCGCAATATGGCCGTATCATCACCTCTCGAATCCTGGTTGATCAAGTCACAGGTTAAGTGTTTCTTTGTCATTTCTTTCCTTGTGTCTCAATGCCACAGCCAGAGCTCTGTGACCCATAGGAGCAGAGAGATAATGGTTATTTAGGGTAAAGGATGTGGGTCATGCGTAGACAAGATTTTTGACTTAGGAGAAAGACTTCTTATCATTCAAATGCCCACATTTAAAATGGGCTGTCTTAGGAGGTAGATCTCCATCTTGGGAACTGTTCCAGCAGCAGCTAAACTATTTGGCAGGGCTGTAAAGAGGATTCAGGCATCAGGTTGTGAGTGGGACTGAATGACCTTCAAAGTCTCTTTCAACCCTCAACCAAGTAACATTACTTCTGTATGTGAAAAGAACCTGTATTAGAGCTCGGCTCCAATGATAGAGCTAGAGGGAACCTCATGCTGCCTCAGTTCACACATGAGAAAAGAGAGGTCCAAAGTGGGGGATCTGACTTCTGCCCAGCTAGTTAGTAGCAGTGCAGGGACATGAAGCCAGGGCCTGGTACTGTGGTACTTTGTCCATCATAAAGAAAGGCAACCACCACCTCTCAGTAAGAAAAGTAAGCCACCCTGGGTTGCATTTTTAATGACAAAATGTTTTCACCTACTCCACATTTGATTCCAATTTAAACCCCCAACCCAAGAGCAGTTTAGCATGTGTTTATCATTCAACTCATGTGACAAACCCTTACTGAAGCCAGTTCTGCCCCCAGACACCACAGAGGGACCCTGGGCACCAGGGATGAAGGAGGCATAGTCCTGCCCTTGCAGGACTCCAGTGTGGTGCACACCTTCAGGGGGCTGTCCCGTGTCCCTCGTGTGCTGTGCCCGGCGGGGATTGTTGTGAGGGCTCCGTCAAGGAGGTGATGTTTGAGCCGGGTTTTGGAGGATGACTTGCAGTTATCTGGCACAAAGGAGGGGTAGAGAATTCTAAGTGGATATGACGTATCCTGTAGAAAAGGTGGAGAGGACATATCGTAAGGCATGGAATCGAGGAAGAACACAACCAGTTCCAGGAGTGTGTGGCAGTTCAAGTATGGCTGGCCTGAGGCTCCACGGGGGACTTGGGGCCACATCATCAGGGGCATTAAATGCCATGCTAAGAAGTCTGACTCCATCTCTATGCAACATGGAGCCATGGAAGGGTTTTATTTTTGTAGGGGGGGTTGTTACTCTGTGCATGGAGTGGGGGGCAATGAGGAACAGGTACCATGCACAGGGTAAAAAATTGAAAAGTTAGGAAAAATGTATAAAGGATGTTTTTAAAGGGTATCGTGTGGTCAGAGTTTGCTTGTCAAATAGATTATGTAGTCGCTAGGTGTGGAGGGAGCATTGTAGGACTAGAAACTGGACAGTGGGTGATGGGTTACGGCAACTGAGCAGGTCGGTTTTAGAGGCTGGACTGAATGTGAGAGGTGCCTGTGTTCTGTGAGTGGGAGTCACCTGTCCAGAGCCATGATGGCAGAAACAGGCGGATGCATTTTGATGGGTGAGAGACATGCAGGGAGTCAGGCTCAGCCTTGGCCCCACCAATGGGCTGACTCCCCACAGAATATCCCTGGGGCCCTGCCCATCTCTTCCCAGAGATGCTTACCAGTTTGGTTTGTTCACTCTTTATGAATGCTCTTTCTCTTTCCCTAGGAGTGTCCAGAGGGGTGGGATTCATCCGGTTTGACAAGAGAATCGAGGCAGAAGAAGCCATCAAAGGGCTGAATGGCCAGAAGCCCAGCGGTGCTACGGAACCGATTACTGTGAAGTTTGCAAACAACCCCAGCCAGAAGTCCAGCCAGGCCCTGTTGTCCCAGCTCTACCAGTCCCCCAATCGGCGCTACCCTGGCCCGCTTCACCACCAGGCCCAGAGGTTCAGGTAGGCACACCCACGGGGGAAAGGGCCCTGCTACACGAGTGCAGAGCTGGGCGAGGGCCAGGGAAACCCACAGCCCTGGAAGATGGGGCAAGCGTTAAGAACCTCCACCCCCAGGAGTCACTGGGTGAACCTCCCCACCGGGCCTCAGTTTCCACTGCTATACCATGAAATGGTTGGACCAGATGCTCTTCCAAGCCCCCTTTCAACTTACTGCTGTGACTGTGGTTAAACTTCAGATTCTAGGATTAAAACAAAATTCCTACATTTAACCAAACCAGAAGGTTCCAACAGGAGTTCATCACAAATAAGTGACCACATTCAACAGCTTAGACTTAAGGCTGAGGGAGTGGCTTTTAACAAAGTCAAAGAAAAGTGTAAGCCAGGAGGCAGATCCTTGTCAGGGAGAGTGGTTCGGCCTGTCTTCCTTTTTTCTGCAGGAAACTCTGTAGCATAGGTACTCCCTTGTGTGTTAACTTCACTCTGACTGTTAAGTCAGCAGATTCTGGGAAGACAAAAAGGAAGATTTTCCTAAATCTTATTAACGTTTCCTTTAGGCACCCAACCCTCCCAGTGCAATGGGGCACTTCCCTTCTCCTGGGACATTTCCGAAAGGCAGGTTTCACTTCATGAGGGCAGTCCAAACTTGACTGCCTTTATTGTACAAGAGATAAGAACATTCTTGACCTACCCATAATAATTCTAAATAATTATTTCATTCCACCCATGTCCCAACTGCTCTTTAATGAAAGGGGTTTTGTTTTGTTTTGTTTTGTTTCCCTCCTTTTCAAACATCCCATGGAAAGATAGTAGGCCCTCCATCTGGCCATGAGGAGGAGGAAAATCAGCCTCAGTAGCTTCCTCCCATGTCCTGGGAATTTGAAAGGGTTAATGATTTCATGAAGAGTCCAAGTCATCTAATTTTTATTTTGTGTGAGAGCACATGCAGTATTTATGTAAAAAGCCTTTCCAGTAGGCTTCTAATGGTGGAAACTATGGTTACTACTGCCCCATGGTGTGCATAGCTTGTCCCCAAGTAAAATACTGAACATGAGGGAGATTATAACATAATGGCAATTTGCTAGGAGGAGCTTTCAGGTTGTAAATAGTAAGCTAATTGTAAAAAATCTTAACCCCGAAACTCCTCCTTCCCCCCAAAAATGTGTGTGGTAGGATTTAGTTAATGTAGCTAGACTAAGAGAAAAGATCCATTCTGATATGCATTGTGCATGCACGTGTATTCCTTTCATTCACAAGTTTAATTGCAACAAAAGGTGAATTGTAATAAAAGGTGAACAACTTAAGAATCTGCCCCCTTTTAACAACTTCACACACAATATAAAATGAAATCCACACAAATGTTCTGAGAGGAGGGGGGAGCGGGATTAATTCAGACCTTGAAAGAAAGGTCTGCCTTCATTAGACACTTGGTTTAAACTCCAGCATTGACCTGAACATGAATTACTCATAGTTGGAGGCAGAGAAGGGGGAAACTACCAGTGGATAGACTCCTAAGCATTGGGGAAAGTTGTTGAGCTTTTCTTCTTTGAAAATGGAGCATTCTTATTAATAGTTCCATTGAGCGATCTTGCCATCTGTGAGGCATTAACCCAGAGACCCTCCTTCTCTTTGCAGGCTGGACAATTTGCTTAATATGGCCTATGGCGTAAAGAGGTAATTAAAACTCCACAGATTGCCAGATGTCCGTGTTGGCACAGACTGGGGCTAGAAATTTTTTTTTTTTTAATTCACTAACTTTACTTTTTTTTTTTTTTAATTCTTCTTTTTTCCTCCACCAGCATGTCAAATTCTTAATTTTAATTTCAGACCTCAGTTGGTTTTATTTCTTTTAGGGCACACAAAGTGTGTTTGTGTGTTTCACTTTTTCTTTTATTTGCAGGTGGGCTTCTCCTATGGTTCAGGTGCCACAGCTACCAAGCCCTTGATAATCTGGTTCTCTGGATGGCTCCCCTAAGCGAGAAGGCTCCTACAGTACTTTGCCAGCTGATTTTGCAAACTTGCAGAGCAACTGTTTTGCATTAGCAATGCCAAGATTCAGTTAAGAGGGCAGATTCCAGCAAATCAAAATTAGAACATTTTGCTAATCATGGTTGACAGTCTTATGATTGTCAGTGGAAAAATTAGATTTTGGACTACCAGCCCTGGCCACAGCATGAATAAACGTGTGGATGACCTGCTGACTCCCACCCCCACCTCAGTGTGCATTTCAGGGCACAGCCTGAGAACAAAGTGTATCTGTGTGCACCTCAACCAGGGGTTTCTTTTGTTACAGGTTTTAACAGTTCCTATAAATTTTCCCTTGGTTATACATGTATTATGTTTTAAACTTGCGGTTTCTTTCATGTAAAGCCTTTCTGTGGGGTTGGGGGCTCAAATAGAATCGAGGTTTGTGGGCCTCTCTGAATGCAGTCACAAGAGTGATCCAGACCTAGTCTGAAAGCTGAATCTTGGGAAGTTGAGTGCGTTATGTCACTGTGTCCATGAGATTCCCATATGTGCTTTTGATAAGCTCCACTGAGCTGCTCAGGACATAGCATCTTCATCATCCTGCTCAGTAGAGCTGCACACTTTAATTCCCCTTCGTACAGTCAGGCAAAGAGATGTGGTCTTTAATAGTCCCAGTCACACTCTCCGTGCTCTCACCACTTGGCCACGCATGGTAAGTACCCCGACTCTGGAAACCGGCACACAGTGGAGGGAGTTGGCCTGCCGGCTTCGCTAGCCAGTCTCAAGCCTGGCACCAGTGAGGATAACTGGGAATTACTTCCACGTGTCGGCACACTGCTTGCCTCTTCCCACTCCCGCTTTTACATTTTTTCCCCACCTCTGGCCTCTGCCCCCGTCTACCTTCAGGGAGGCAGCACGAAGTATGGACCAAGTATGGAGTGATGCTTATGCGTGCTGAGGCCAGAGAAGGCACAGCTGCAACCTCGCTAGTCAATAAAAGCATCTCTTTTCCTATTAGACCCAGCTTTGGGTCCGGACTCCATCCTATCAAAGCGCTCCAGGTAGCCATTACCGACCAGAGTTGAGACTCTGCTTGAAACCTCTTTGCTGGCTCCTGACTTTGGCCTTAAAATAAATACCTCGCTGTTCTCTACCTTTAAACTGAAAGGAATCAGTTCACTCAGTTGGAGGAGAGAAGGTTGAGAAGACAGTCTTCAGAAATAATGCAAATAAATCGTAGACATGGATTTGCCCTCCTAAGAATCCTTACCATGATGTTTATTCGTTTTGTCTTGTTACTTGTTTTTAAGCAAGAGAGAAGATCGACTTAGTGAATAATGCCAAACTAGTACCTGTTGAGTTGTTATGTTTAGCATATCTTCAGCAGCCATTTGATTATCTAAATTCTAGATGCAGCCCTGTTCTTTCCTAGGACTCTCAAATCTCCAAGAATATTTGCTTATTTTTTAAAACGCCCTAGGGACACCTGGGCGGCTCAGTTAAGTGTCTGACTCTTGATTTTGGCTCAGGTCATGATCTCAGGGTTGTGAAATCGAGCCCCGCATCGGGCTACACTCTGGGCATGGAGCCTGCTTCGGATTCTCTCTCTCCCTCTGCCCCTCCCCCCTCTAAAAATCAGAAACCAAACCAAAACAACAAAAAGTCCTAGATCACACTTTATCCCATTTTCTCTCCAGTTTTTTCTTCCTCTCTCCCTCCCTTTCTTCAGAAATAAAACACCAAAACCTAACCACATGAAAACCAAGACACTAGTCAATGGGTAGGGCCCAAATGCCTGTCTATGTTTGGTATAAAACAAAATGTTAACAAATATTTTTCTGCTGTAGGCACTGGTAACCTAATCCGATGCATCCATTATGAATCACACATGGATATATTTTATCAGACAGTGAATAGCATCTGAAGGGTTGTTTTTCTTTTCAAGATAACATGAAAACTGAGATTTCAAAGCCTACTACAAAAGTAGTTGTAATAGGGCAAATAACAGTTTTCAGCTTTTCTAAATTTAAGACATATAAATGCACAAACCACTTGAAATCTCACTCCTGTGATGCTTAGAAATGAATTCCAGATAATATAGCATCAAGGAATGATACGTCTTTATTATTATTGCTTGGGAGTTTGGGGGGAACTCCTTTGAATAGATGCTAAATGAAACATGAGCCACCCATCTGATTAATAACAAGGTGTATCTGTTCATTCTCACGCATCTCTCTCCTCAAAATATCAAGAGATCTTTGACAACCATAAGTCAGGGGACTGCAAAGATGGTAGACTTGAGCACTCCTAGGGCCATCCCCTAATCTGTCTTAAAAAAGAAATAAAATTTCCCAAGCATTGATATCCACCAATGTTATTCACTTATGCAATCAATAAGTATTTATTGAGTATTTCCTCTGTGTTACTGTGTGTGTGATATTCCCATATGTGCCCCCACTGAATAAATAACTAGAGCAACAGGATGAATATAATAGAGCCCCTCCTCCCAAGAGCTTCCTGTCTATTGTGGGGGGAGGGAGGATAAGGGTCAGGGTGGAATACCCTATGACCACATACCATGGTAGAAGTTTGATAGAGCCTTGCTCTGGGAGTTCCTTATGGTTATTAGGAATTGACCTAGCCTTTCTCTTGGCATATCCGGACCTTAGCCAGTGTAGCCATTCCACTCAGAAAAAAATGCCACAGGCGTTACTTTTTGCATTTTGGTTTTTAAACCCTGAAGACTCTCCTGCAAACACTCACTCAGCCCTCTGCCCCATGTCTGTGTCTGTGCATCTGTGTGTTATCCATGGTCAGACTGATGTCTGGACCAGTCCCCCCTTCTGCCTGTCCCCCCAGGTTCTCCCCAATCACCATCGACGGGATGACAAGCCTTGTGGGAATGAACATCCCTGGTCACACGGGAACAGGCTGGTGCATCTTTGTCTACAACCTGTCCCCTGATTCCGACGAGAGTGTCCTCTGGCAGCTCTTTGGCCCCTTCGGCGCAGTGAACAACGTCAAGGTCATCCGCGACTTCAACACCAACAAGTGCAAGGGATTCGGCTTTGTCACCATGACCAACTATGATGAGGCGGCCATGGCCATTGCCAGCCTCAACGGGTACCGCCTAGGAGACCGAGTGTTGCAAGTTTCCTTTAAAACCAACAAAGCCCACAAGTCCTGAATTTCCCATCCTTACTTATAAAAATATATATATAAATATATACGAACAAAACACACGTGCGCGCACACACACACACACACACACACGCACACGCAAAAGAGAGAGAAACAAACTTTTCGAGGCTTATATTCAACCATGGACTTTATAAGCCAGTGTTGCCTAAGTATTAAAACATTGGATTATCCTGAGGTGTACCAGGAAAGGATTTTATAATGCTTAGAAAAAAAGAAAAAAAAATACAAAAAAATACCTTTGATGCATTGAATGTTCTTTCATAGCTGTCGTTGTTGAATATAATATACATAGATAGCGATGTGCAGGGATTTTAACCCAGCCAGCTAACTTTACTACCTTCCTTGAAGGTGGGTCTTTTTAAGATGACCATTCGCTCATTTGAAGAAGAAAAACAAAAAACAAAAAAAAAATAATAAAAATAAAACAATTTTTACAAAGTAATGGGATTCAAAGAAAGAAAAAAAAGATTTTTCTTTTTTGTCAAAAAAGTTGATCCAATCAGATTGGTAAAAAACCCCCCACACAAATTAAAGAGGAATAATAAAAATTGCAAAAATGAAAAAAAAACTTTTGCAAATTTTTTTATTTTTCCTTTTTTCTTTTATATCATGTGAACTAAAAACAGTCTTCTGTTAGGGGATGGGGGCAAGGGGGATACCTGATGACATTAACAATTTAATAACATTAACATTGTTGCCAAAGAGGTGGTCTCTTTGCTGAAAATGGGTTTCAAGAAAAATCTATTTTTATAAAATATAAAGAATTTTTACAAGAGAATCTGGATTTGAGAAAAAAATATTTTGACTGGCTAATTTAGGGGAAATTGACAACTTTGTCGCGTTCATACTGCACTGGTAACTTTTTAGAGATCAAGATGTGTGTTTTAAACTGGATTCGTAGACTGTTTTTTGAAGGATGGGCTATAAACAGATGATCTTCATATCTTTTCATAGCATGTAATAATAATAAAAAAAACAATTATTAATTACTAGGGGAAAGGAGTGTTCGTTCTACCCAGGGTACCACAGTTCCCCACAGTCAAAACCCAAAAGCAAGGAGATGAGTTGAAAGACAGTTTTTCTTTAAGTCATCAGTATGGGATGTCAGCAGAACAAAAATTAAAAAGATTAATTTTCCTTTTGATCTAAAACTTCCTTAGTTTGAGCAGTAGGTGCTACGAAATTATTTACATATCTTAGTATCATAGTTAAATGTAATGTGTTTAGGAGAGGAAAACAAAAGATACATTTGCTTTAAATTCATTAAGGAATTTTCAAATTCACTTTGTAGCCCATGCTGATAGAATTGGGCTGTGTTGGTACATTTGAAACACTGTTTATGTTGCTTGAAACACTTATTTATTTAATCGCCGATGTGATGATGCCTATGGCCGAGATCAAATATAGCTAGATTGGCTAGACTACTTATTTGTTTACTTAAACTATGGGAAGAAGCATATTATTGTGTCATTCTGTTGTGTGTGTATGTGTATATACAATATAAATATATATATATAAAGTTATTTTTCTTTGGGTTAATTTATTATAAGTTGTAACACTTGGCTAGTTTTGTTTGTATATGTCTTAAAATGTTTTCTTATGATATTTAAGTGACAGTTAAAGAGGTATCAAGGTAACTTGTGTAGAACTATTGTTTGATATATTGTCATGTTTGTTGTGAATATTTTTTCTTACTGCACAGTAGAAAAATAAAAACAACTGGGTCTTTATTTTAATGTAATTCAGATTGGGGAAAACAAAACAGAGCTAAGGGAACAAAATGACTGAGGGAGCATTCTCCCACGTCCAGTGCACTGATCATTTTAGTATGTTTGTGCTTTGTACGGTTATATATTTAAAACAAAAACAAAACAAAAAAATACAAGGGTTCATGCTCTTCCCTGGGTAATAGAAACAGTTACTCGCTATGCATAATCTAGTTGATAGTTAAATTTGCTATTGCTTTTCTTGTCTTGTTATATAAAATCTTTTCAATACAAGTTTAGTCTTAATGGTAATAAAACGTTATGGTTATTTATAACTTGTGCTTATTTTGTGCGTTTTTTCCCATGCTGAACCCACTAAGTGCATGTAGACGGAACTGTTGTTTTCACACTGAAGAGGCAAACTTTGTAGTAGTAGTCGTAGTGGTAGACAGATAACGAAAACCAAGGCTGCATCATAGACTCCTCCTTTAAATTTTTTTTCTGTTTTTTTTTCCTCTTTTCGGTTTTGAAAAAAAATGAATAAATAAAACACCAGATTTCAGTTCAGAGAACACTCGTTCAACATTCAGGGAAAACTTTCTACATCACCTGCTATGAATGAACGCAGTTTGCTGGCAAAGTTTTGATGCATTTGCTAAGCATTAGTGGGAAAGGCATGCCAAATCTCTTCTCTATAATGTGTTCACTCTTGGGGGAAAAAAAAAGGAAAAAAAATCTTAGGACCAGGCAGTTGTATACTTTAGTTATAATGAATGACTTCATGTTAATCTTGCTAGTTTAGATGATTTCTGAGGGAAAGTATTGTAAATGTTTTTTTTTCATAATCTCGTTGTGTTTGAATTATTTGTACTTTATCTGTCCAGACAATAAATGAAAGTGTGTAGAATGGATTTGAGCTTCCCAGATTTTTAAATGTGTTCATTCAAACTTTTTTTTTGTAGCATCTTCAGATTTCCCCCAATAATTTTATCCTTAAACACACACACACAAAAAAAGGGTAGAGTAAAATTGTGTTTTGCAACTTAGCCCAGTCTCTCAAAGTCAATTCAGTATTCAAAAGTCATTGCCCTAGTTCCATACGACTAAAACTGTGGGCTCCAGCCGGCAGTACCTGCATCATCTGGAAGCTTGTTAAAATGCAGAATCTCAGGCTGAATGCAAATCTATATTTAATCGGATCCCCAGGTGAATCGCTGGTACTTTAAAGTGAGAACACTGCCCTGATTGATAACAAGCCGGCACATTTGGCATTATGTTTGGCATTAGGGTACATTAGTGTCTGTTATTCATTTATAAGCGTATCTGTGACTTTTTCAGAAGAAAGGAAGTCACTGTTTGCAGAGCATCTCTTGTCAGGCTGTGTGGTGTCCTCTACATTCTCTCACTTTGTTCTCCAGCCATCTGGGAGAAGTGGATAGCACTATCCTCATTTCACAGATGGCAAGACTGAGGCACAATGAGATTAAGTAACTTGAAACAGCTAGCAAGCTTCCAGCTGGGATTTGAATCCCAGTCTGATTCTACTGCACAGCACCTCAGCCTTGAGATTGTAGAGCTTGAGTGGTAGTAAGGAAACAGACCATTTGCATTGGAAGTGACAGCTAAACAAGAAAGGTCACCTTTTTATTTTAGCATTCATTTTTGCATAGAAGTCAACAAATATTTGACTTTCTTACCTTTGAGTAGAAACCCTAAGCAAAGGACTTATACAGTATATATATAAAAAAAAAAAACATGGATTTTAAGCTCAACTGAGAAGGGGGGGACAAAATGCCTAAGGTATCATGAAGTCATATTAAAATATGCCCTGAACTTTACAGATGAACTTTTTTAGTGATTTCCTGATACAATCACTCATTGATGATCTACTGTCTGTCTTTTGTTTCCATTTTCTCACTAATTGAAAATTCATAATACCCCATAAACCATCACCATCCATAAACTGACACTTGCAGAAGAAATGCTCCCACTCAGCCAGATGAAGGAATAGTCAGATTCTCTTCCATTTCTCATTAGCCCCATTTTTTATTATTATATTAAATTACCTCAATGGTTGGGATAATTAAATTCAGGGCAAAGAATGGGATTTTAATTAACCAAGCTAAATATTAAAACTAAGTCAGCCTGAACTTCACATAGTTGAACTTAAAGGTTCTTATTTTAGTTTTATTTAAAGACAAGCCCCTATGTTCCTTTTCTGAAGAAAAGTGGGCAAACTCATAGCTGCCTCCAGAAAGAGCTGAGCCTCACAAACGTGTGTATAAGGGTCTAAAAATGTTACCGCTAAACCTACAAGGGTTATCACTAATCAGCACCACCCCTGATCCTTAAAGGTGTAATTTTAGTGCACTTTCAACAAATGGATACGTTATTTTGGAATATTAGAAGTTTGTGGAATCTTACCAGTTCATAGAGTTCACTCCCCAGCTTCCAACAGATCTATCCTGAAAGTTTCACAAATGGCCATAGGTGTTTAAATAGGTCTGTAAAATATCTATAACAGGCCATTCTACATACACTCTCTTGGCAACACTTCCCAGCATCAGCATAACATGTCTGCCTAACATCTAATCAAAAAATTCATCTTGCTGTGAGTGTAAGCCTGTTACCTTAAATCTCCAGGCAAACATTATATAGTTTCTGTAGGTGTTTGTGGGAAGGTTTTAACAAATCACAAGAATGCAGAGATTATTACATTTCTTTTAGGTCCTAGGTACAGTATGTTTTGCTTGGATGAAAAATTGCATGCCAGGGAAGGCTGAAGGCATTTACTTGGTGTTATTTCTGTCAAATTGATAGGAAGAAAAGAGAGCAAAAAACCATGTGCTTGCGTTTGTAGCCATCCCACATTATCGCCGCCAGCATCCAAACTACCTGCGTCTGATAGGGAAGATCAAACAGTGACCAAATGTGAGTTGCAGCTAGAATATTTTATCAACTTGGCTCCTGTTTAAATTTCTTTCATCGAGATCAGTCATTTGTTCATTTATAAATAAAACATGTAAATCTCAGAGAACAACGTTTAAAAGTGCATTTGAAACTCACAAAGTCTCATGGGGCTCGTAGGCAGTCAGTATTTGTGTCTGGCTACCTTAACCTTGTCAGAATTTGGTACTTTAATCACCCTTCACCATAGGTGATGCCGGAAACAGTTCTTCAAATTATTTTGCCCTTACTTTCTGTGGGCACTGTGTGTTTCATTCTTTAACAGACATACACAAGCAAACACACAGAGGCGAGCGTTTGTACAACTGACTAGGAAATGGGGTGTTTTACTTTCACTTGTAAATTCAAAAAT